GTTTTTATGCTGTTGTTGTTCGTTATTATCATTTCCTTTCTTGTTTTTTTATCTTGTTTTTCTCTTCATTCTTGTTATTGATTATTTTTCTCTTTCGTTTTCAATGCTGTTGCTGTTCATTATCATTGTTTCTTTTATGTTTCCATGTCTTATTGTGTTGTTGATCGTTATTATCACTTATTTTGTTGTTGCTGTTCATTACTATCATTGTTTCTTTTTGTTTCCATTTTTTATTCTGCTGATGTTCGTTAATATTATATTTCTTGTTGCTGTTTTTCTTAGTATTATTTTTAGTACTGTCATTATCATTACTCTTTTCCCCATTATTATCAGTATGGTCAATACCTTTACCACCAATATTGTTATTGCCAGCTTTATTGCTGTAGTGCTGTTATTGTTTACATTATCATAATCATCAGAAGCAACATAATCATAATCATCATCATCATTACCATCTCCATCATCTACATCATTATTGTTAATATCCTTATTATTATAATCATTATCATTATCATTATCATTATCATCATTATCATTACTATCATTATTACTATTATTAATATTATCCCTATTATGATGATTGTCATTATTATCAAAATAATGTTAGTAATTATTATTTACGTATTTATTATTGTCACTGCGCAAACGATTTTTATAATCTTCAAGGTCAGCAGCCTGAGAATGCAATTTTTTATTTCCTTTGTTTGCGTCTTCTGTGGTAATATTCTACCATGCACTTTATCTTAAGAATTATTCTAAAAAGAATAGTTTATAATTATTTTTATCGAGAAAATCTTCAGATAGGGAAATGAGTTTTAAACAAGTCATAATTTTAGTTTATACACCTTATGGATATAACATAAAAATACTTTATATCATGTGTACCCCATGACCCACTTGATGCAAAAGACGTTAAGCTGAGACCACAAGACAAATAAAGACCCAAGGTTTCGTTGGCAACAAGAAAACCGGTATTGTCATTGCTGAGACACGTACTTTTGTCCCTGAATATGATGGGATCTTCATATATCTTTGCCGTGAGGATACCCGACTCCAAGCTCAGTCTGTATGTTGACTTTCTGGTCTGACATATTAGAGTCATGAACTATAAAGATATGTTAAACTATGTATGTCTTCGACGTCTCTGAAGTAAGCATGTGTCGACAGAATCTGTTTTCCTAACAGACCCTTAGAGTCATAGGTCTAGAGTTCAGTTCAGTTAGATTTGCGAAGTCTAGCTTCCCCCCGTGCCTTTTCTCTAGAATGGCCCGGCCTGTGTCAGCTATTTCTAGTTGACGCTTGTGTTTTCTTTTAACTGTATGCTTAACGCGGAGGCTGGATTGCAAGCAAGCGAAGCAGCTGCCACGGTGTAAGCATGTGGCATACCCTTTTTACCAGCCCGGCGGTTGTGGTTCGGGGTTCCCTGTCTCAGAAATTGCGTGTGTTCACAATTATGTAAGTAATGTGACAGGGTGGCGTCCGGCTCGCCGCAGTGCACACATTTCCTGACAACCACGTCATCGAGAATTTGCCAAGTGGATGGGTAACCTACTCTTAATCTGTGCAGCATGACTTCGGTACCTCTTTTTATTTTTGGAGGAAGGGCCAGTGGCTCATACCCCATGGTGTCTGAGTACCATCTGGCTGAGAGCGTGTTTGTGGTATTTTCTCTGCGCATGCTCCGGTGAACTTCAAGTGCTGTAGCTTTGGGACTTTGGCTCAGTCTTCTTTGGCTTGGGTTGACGATCATGGGATTTGAGGGCATGTCCTGCCATTTTCGGCTATGTGGCAGCAAGCTCATTATTTTGGATACCTATGTGGCTTGGGACCCAGTTTATGATTATTATTCTACCCTGATTAATAATCCTCTGGGCTATAATAGATGATCTTATATTCCTCTGGCAGGTGAATTTTGAGTATGCTGGACATGAGGGTATTGCAAAGAGCAGGACTAAGGACCCCACCCTGAGGTGTTCCATTTTCGAGTGGCATGTGCTGAGATATGTGACCTTGAAATCTCACATTTGCTGTTCTGTTGTTGAAATAGTCAGCTATCCAGGCCATCATAGGTCTGGAGGTGTAAGAAACATTTTTAACACAGAGCTACACTACCCGTTGACCTAACCTGAGGTTGTCTGAGGTGTTATGGGTGAATTGATTAGTATAGTAAATTAATTGCATTGTGACGTTTATTTAGATTTAGTTATTATTTCGTTAGTTACATTTTCATTTTGAATACATCAGTATTTAATAATTTAATTAATTGAAAGTGTTTAGGTGACCAGGCATAATACGTGAATCACGTAATACAAATGTCTCGGAATTCGACCCGACCTGTGTTTCGGTGGCTGACTCGAGCTCACTCCTTGGCTGACTCCGACCGCACCGCCACACCGCCACTCCGCCATGTTGTAAAGCTCGGGTTTTGCACGTCTCTGCCTGTGATCACTCTCGGCTAAGTATTTTGTCTCTTTATATTCTAAATAGGACAGGATGCATAGTATAGGAACAGGATTTTATTTTTCTATATTATATATCAATGTATAATTAATGAACATAAAACAAACTATTGAATAGTTATGTTGTTTATTCTTGTTTCTTTTTTGCCGGATATGATTTTGACCTTGCTATGGAAACTAAATAATACCCTAGACTTCCATTGCGCCATAACAGGAGGATCGCAGGCCAGAGAAGACGACTGT